AATAGTTTGCGACTGATCTGTTACCTTTAACTTTTATGCATTTAAAACTTTGTTGGGAAAATCAGTCGTCTTTTATTTTGCCATGTTATTGAAATAAATACATTTTCATGAACAAAATGATATTTTCTCTGTAAAGAAACGGTAATAAAGAATATGTTAAGAATAATGATAATTCAAACAAAGCAAGAATCTTGGATAATTTTTAAAGGACATAATTATACTGTATTCGTATCAACATTATTTCTATTAAGGTTTAGAGGGTTATTGATATTTTATATAGGGAAATTCGTCAAATTTTGTTGTTTTCAAATTCTATAGAAAAATAATTTATAACTCTTCCCTTATAACAATAATGCAAATTTTCATCGCAGATATATTATTGTTTACATGCTTTCCCCTCCCGTAGAATTCTATTTGAATAATGAAGTTAATTATCAATTTTATATAAAGTACTCATTATGCCATAAAGTGCTCACACAGACGATATGCCGCCAAGTGATTGTATTCCGTGACATAACTTTATATAAATTTAAATTCTCGCAGTTTTCTGAGTACAACTTTAATTCATTTTTCATAATTGTTGTGCTTATTTTTACTTTAACCCATTTAAAAAAGAAATCAACCATTTCTTAAGTCATGAAACATAAATATTTTCCTTAAAAAATCCTGAATTTTCTCTGTAGGGAAACGGCATTAAAGAATGTGTGTGAATGTCATATTTCAATCAAAGCCGAGAATCTTGAATACTTTTTAAAGATTATCAATGTACTGTTTTTGCATCAACGTTATTTCTTTTAAGTCTTACAGGGTTTATTAATGTTAGGAAAATCTTGTCTATTCTTTTTAGTTGTTCAATTTTATGGAAGAAAAATTCATTTAGTCTCAGTATGACTATAATGCGAATTTTCATCGGAGATGTGCTTTTTCTAAGGCGTAGAACTGTTTTCGAATATAAGAAGGTAAGTTATTAATTTCATTTAAAAGACCTATTATGCCACAAAGTGCCCACATCGACGATATGCCGCTAAATGCTTGCATTCCATGAGATAAATAAAAGAAATTAAACGCTCACTTCTTTTCACAATATGAGTTAATAGTTTGCGACTGATCTGTTACCTTTAATTTTCTTGCATTTAAAACTTTGGTGGGAAAATCAATCGTCTTTTAACTTTGCCATTTTTTTTTCAATCAAATACATTTTCATGAACAAAATGATATTTTCCCTGTATAGAAAGGGTAATTCAGAAAATGCTAAGAATTATGATATTTCAAACAAAGCAAGAATCTTGGATAATTTTTAAAGGTAATTACTATACTGTATTCGTATCAACATTATTTCTATTAAGGATTAGATGGTCATTGATATTTTATCTAACAAAACTCGTCAAATTCTGTTGTTTAAAAATTCTATAGAAAAATAATTTATTACCCTTCCCTTATAACAATAATGCGAATTTTCATCGCAGATATATTATTGTTTATATGCTTTCCCCTCCCGTAGAATTCTATTTGAATAATGAAGTTAATTATCAATTTTATATAAAGTACTCATTATGCCATAAAGTGCTCACACAGACGATATGCCGCCAAGTGATTGTATTCCGTGACATAACTTTATATAAATTTAAATTCTCGCAGTTTTCTGAGTACAACTTTAATTCATTTTTCATTATTGTTGTGCTTATTTTTACTTTAACCCATTTAAAAAAGAAATCAACCATTTCTTAAGTCATAAAACATAAATATTTTCCTTAAAAATATCCTGAAATTTTCTCTGTAGGGAAACGGCAATAAAGAATGTGTTGAATGTCATATTTCAATCAAAGCCGAGAATCTTGAATACTTTTTAAAGATTATCAATGTACTGTTTTTGCATCAACGTTATTTCTTTTAAGTTTTACAGGGTTTATTAATGTAAAAAAATTTGTCAATTTTTTTTTGTTGTTAAATTCTATGGAAGAATAATTCATTTCTTCTCATTATGACAATAATATGAATTTTGAGCGGTGATTGATTGATTGTATACTGTTTGATGTCACTCTCAAGAATATTTCACTGATATGGAAACGTCACCATTGCCGGTGAAGGGCTGCAAATTTGGGTCTATGCTAGGCATACAGGGCCATTGAGCAGGGAGGGATCTTTATCGTGCCACACCTGCTATGACACTGGGCCCCGGTTTATCCGGTCTCATCCGAAGGACCACCCCATTTAGTCACCTTTTACGAAAGGCAAGGGAGTAATGAGAATCTATTCTAACCCGGAGATGTGCTTTTTCTAAGCCGTAGAACTGTTTTCGAATATAAGAAGGTAAGTTATTAATATCATTAAAAAGACCTATTATGCCACAAAGTGCCCACATCGACGATATGCCGCTAAGTGCTTGCATTCCATGACATAAATAAAAGAAATTAAACGCTCACTTTTTTATTACAACATGAGTTAATAGTTTGTGACTGATCTGTTACCTTTAACTTTTATGCATTTAAAACTTTGTTGGGAAAATCAGTCGTCTTTTATTTTGCCATGTTATTGAAATAAATACATTTTCATGAACAAAATGATATTTTCTCTATAAAGAAACGGTAATAAAGAATATATTAAAAATTATGATATTTCAAACAAAGTCAGAATCTTGGATAATTTTTAAAGGTCATAATTATACTGTATTCGTATCAACATTGTTTCTTTTAAGGTTTAGAGGGTTATTGATATTTTATATAGGGAAATTCGTCAAATTTTGTTGTTTTCAAATTCTATAGAAAAATAATTTATAGTTCCTCCCTTATAACAATAATGCGAATTTTCATCGCATATATACTATTGTTTACATGCTTTCCCCTCCCGTAGAATTCTATTTGAATAATGAAGTTAATTATCAATTTTATTTAAAATACTCATTATGCCATAAAGTGCTCACACAGACGATATGCCGCCAAGTGCTTGTATTCCGTGACATAACTTTATATAAATTTAAATTCTCGCAGTTTTCTGAGTACAACTTTAATTCATTTTTCATAATTGTTGTGCTTATTTTTACTTTAACCCATTTAAAAAAGAAATCAACCATTTCTTAAGTCATAAAACATAAATATTTTCCTTAAAAAAATCCTGAATTTTCTCTGTAGGGAAACGGCAATAAAGAATGTGTGTGAATGTCATATTTCAATCAAAGCCGAGAATCTTGAATACTTTTTAAAGATTATCAATGTACTGTTTTTGCATCAACGTTATTTCTTTTAAGTCTTACAGGGTTAATTAATGTAAGGAAAATATTTGTCAATTTTTGTTGTTGTTAAATTTTATGGAAGAAAAATTCATTTATTCTCAGTATGACTATAATGCGAATTTCAATCGGAGATGTGCTTTTTCTAAAGCGTAGAACTGTTTTCGAATATAAGAAGGTAAGTTCTTAATACATGTATAATTAAAAAGACCTATTATGCCACAAAGTGCCCACATCGACGATATGCCGCTAAGTGCTTGCATTCCATACGACTCGTATTCATATTTGTTTTTTAAAATAAAAGTAATACATCTAACAACTAGCATTGCATACATTTCTATATTTAAATCTAAATTCTCGTAGTTATCTGATTACAAAATGAATTCCTATAAGAACACATAGAAAATTGCCTTCCCAAAAAATTAAATAAATAAGATAATAATAAATATAAATATATTTCGATAAAAAATATTACATGGCATAAATTTCTTTAAACACGATAAATACGAAAGTTTAAACTAATCATACATTAATATTATTATTTTCATTTTCTATGAAAATATTAAATAGGTTATGCACCTTAATGTTCCCGAGGACTCAATAATGTCCTCTATTATTCATCTTTTATTTCATATATTCCTTTATTCCTTTATATTCTACTAGGTTTATGTCAGCGGTTTAGATGTTACCAAGCACAATTACTTTTACTTTGCATATACACCTAGTTAAATCCGCTCCTCTTCTTAATTCCTAACGGGCCGTAACTCGGGTTTGTTTTGGTTTATTTTTAGAATATGAAAGCCATGTAAACAAGAAGTATACAAGCAAATAAAAATACTTTTCTTCATACAATGTGTCATTATAACTGCGTACATGTATTTATAGATAATTGTTCCAATATTTCTTATCAGAATATGAATAGAGAGGTAGTTCTATGTCATTTAATTAATTATTTTTAGAAAATATATCTGTATATACGTAAAACTATACGCTTTTAAAAAATAATGTTGGTAAAAGAACGCTGCATTCGTATTCGATCAAAAGAATCAAAGATTGCTGGCCTTACTATTATATATTACTATAATATTATTGAATTAAAACAACGTCTTTATTTATTTTTATCTTCCCACGGGAAGGATATCAATTAGGATGTAAAAAAAATTCAGTGTAATTAATTAGAGTTGAGATATAATTTTTTTTTATCTTTTCTTTAACACTTTTGTGAGTAAAGGTTTAAGCTATGACAACACAAACTTATTGTTGATTAACATTATATAATCAGATAACTCTAAATTCAATGAATATTTAGTGAGTTTCAAAGAAGATTGGAGAAGTTCCGTCCCTTTCTAATTTCTCCATGCCAGTAAGTGCTGCAAAAATTTAGAGGCATCAAGTTTAAAAACACCCGATAGCACTTAGTGGCAAACAAACAATGTATATGATGAATAATTTTTAATTGCTTTACTAATTTATCTCAAAAATGCTTTCTATTTCTTCGAAATAAAAATATCTAATCATACTACCTGATAAAAGCTTGAACTTTTACTTAACTTAATAGAAAAACGCGATGAAACCAGCAAGTGTCAACAGTCACGATATGCCGCTAACAGCTTAAAGTCGGTTATATATATATATATATATATATATATATATATATATATATATATATATATATATATAACCAAAATGTGTCATCTGTTAATAACAAAATAATGAAAAAGCACAATAACGAAACCGCACATATGAAGTTTCCCTATCCTATTTTGCGTCTTGTCGTTCGGTAAACAGAGACAACTGTATTCAAAAATGACAAACCTGTATGTCTGGTAATGTTATATATTCCCAGATTTTACTGCCCTCGCCATTTGTTGACCCCGTTTCGAACCGCAACGTTATGTGTTTGTCAATCAGTTTGAAATTTCCATCGTCTTGATTTTGAACTTTTATTTTATGTACCACTTTCCAGTCATTTGTGTTGTATTTATCTCGATCGTTGTATTTAAAAGCATTTATTTTAGTGTCACATGCCCTTCTATTTTTGTCGTCACAGGAAAGAGAGGAACTGTTATGAACCCCCATTTGAATGTTAAGATCAGATTGAGCGTTTTCCGTCCCAAATGGAAAGTAAGCAATTCCGTTTTCATTTATGAATGGTATTGTAAACTGGAGTTCAACCTCTGCACTCTGACCCCTATTTATGCGAAGTATTGGCGTCAAGACCTAAAAATATATATATATAATTGTGCTCAGGTGTCATTTAAACATACCTCCATGATAATTGTTTTGCTTTGGAAATATTTTTCTTTGTAGGATATATGAATTGACGATATTGAAATCGTTATTATATTTTCTAATATCAATGAATTCCTTGGGTTTTTGGGTACATGTAGTGTATCGATCTGCTGTTTCTTTTCCTAAGTTCCTGGGTAGAAAATGAGTTCAATCACAAACCCTTAAAGACTCTTTACATGTAATATTATTTAGAAACCCATTAAGTTTCCTCTCCGCCAAATAAATGATGAATATAGGTTTCACATTCAATTCAGTAAGATAATTTTAAGATAAGTCATGGTTTCTGCTTCGCATTTTCTCTATGAAGAAGAAGTTTTCTCAATATGCTTTTACACAGGAACTCACGATTGAGATAGATTAATTATGTATTGCTTTAGCTATTTTTTTCTTAATACCTTTATTCCTGCATAGAATAGAGAACTTGTTCCGGTCTCACAAGGACTGTCACCTTCACTTAATTTTGCTCCAACCACACAATGGATCTGCAAACGTTACATTTAAAATTAATACACTGCTCAAGGTTATAATTATTTGAACATACTACATAAAGATGAAATTCCGCGCAGGCGCGGGAACTTGAATTTATATTTGATTGCGCCCATGAGAAAAGGGTCCTTATGGCAATTTTTACACATTTTTAGTTCTTCATGAATTTTGATAGAACAAGGTTAGAAGTTGTCAGATATGAATTTTTATGGTTCTAATCCGTCTCTAAGTATGTTTTTTCTTCGTTTATATCAGTGATACTTTTATTTTTAACAGTGGAATCATGACGTCAGGTTAACGTTACGTCAAACATTAACTTTATTTTTTGTAACGTTCCTAATATGATTGTAAAGAATCATTTAAAAAAAAAATAGTTGTTATAAATAGTATCCATCAAAGGTAAAGAATCTTTTTCTCTCATTTTTTTTTTAAATTGTTAATTGTTATAAACATTATCTATCAATGCATGGTATGTGCGTTGATTGTAATACACTTCTCTCATGCTGGACGACAGAAAAGTCTCAGAAGGTGCAACTTCCGGGTAAGAATTGTTTTGTAAGTATACAGGATGAGTTCAAAAGTCATTTTATTTTAAATTTAAAATTTCAATTTAATTTTAAATAAAACAACAATTTTGTTGTTTGATTGTATAAAACTGATACATCTTTCCAAATGTGGAAATAAAAAAAAAATGTCCCTGAGAATGACAATAAACCAGAATCTATACCCAGTAATGTAGAATGATTTTTTTTTCGTTTTCTATATATAAATATGATAAAGACAACATTTGAAATGCAATTATTTACGAAAATACAATAATTTGAAGGACAATAATTTGATACACTGTAGATAGATTGCACATTTAGCAATATTCCATAGAATGTTTGTAAAAATATTTGGAAGGAACTCTGTCTTGCATTGGTAATAAAATCTTTATTTTAATTGAAACTATACAACCTTTTTTCAATCCCAATATTGAACACTTTTTTATCATTAACTCATAAAATATGCGGCTTAAATAATTGCGTGATGCATGAAATAAGGCAGGGTCAGTTCCAGGAATTCCGGTAGTAATTATTTCGGGATGATGTCAGTTGGATGGGGGTAGGCGTTAAATAGGTAAATGACATACATGTACGAGTACAGTTAATAAGAGCTTAACCCCCCCACCCCCCCACACACAACTAAATACCCAACCCAGTTAGACTATAATATTGGGAAATTATTCTTTAATTTTATTATTTGAATATTAATTTTAAACCCACAGTGTCGTTTTCATAAGCAATCAGCGATTAATTATTGGGCAACACATGCCCGGAACTATAGAAACTTGACTGACCACTATCAACGAGTGAAATGGCACCGAAGCGTACCTTTATAATGTAATAATATAATTCCGGGCATTTTGATTATGATAAAAAACAATTTCAATCCGAATTTCGTTAAATTGTGAAATTGATTTGTCGATCTATTCATTTATTTTAATCAAATACTAGTAAATAAATCGCGCGTGATATGAAATAATTTTATGTGTTGTTATAATAAATCGCGCTTTTTAATTTATAGAAAAGATTAATTCAATTGGAAATCAGACTTATATGTTAATGTCACAGACACTTGTTTCGAAAATTAATTTTTAAACCATAGTATAATCTATACTATAGGTTAAATTTCCGAAACAAGTGTTTATGGTTCGTGTCCAATTATGCGTCTGTTACATATACGTTATATCTTCTGATTGGCCAAATTCTGAAATGACAAATGTTTGCAAAGTGGTACATATAGCTAGGTCTGTTGTTTAGTTATGATATCAAATTTTTTATTTCAACACTCAACACTTACCCCCCCCCTTTTTGTACTTTCTTTTGTGTACGAAATTCTAATATGGAAGCTGTGTCGAGGTTTAATAAAAAATACATAACTATGTTGAAAGTATTCCAAATGATTTGCTTTTATGAATTTCAATCTGGTACCAAAAAATGACATGAATATGCTTAGCATTGGGTGTGTATCATTAACGCTACATTTTCAAAATTGTCAATACCGCTACACACAACAACACTACTACTACTACAAAAAACGTTATATTACTGCTGCATTTACAAGTAGACAAAAACTCTACATAACATCTTTCGTTAGCCAGCGGCTTTTGCATGAATTACTGTATAACGGGTCCTATCGGGAGAATGGGGGGGGGGGGGGGGGGTAGGACTTTAAGCAGTGTTTTTTTCCCTTTTTTAATATTAAACCTATTTTACTGAATAAAACATTTCAAAAAAGTTTCAACCATTATTTTATGGATAAAAAAAGTCTTCACAGAATTGGTACATGTATGGCAAAACTGTTTTGAAGGCCTTTCGCTTGAGGTAATGCTGTCTGGAAATCTTGCCAATTTTAAATTCCACTTTCATTGTTTTCTGACTTTTGTTGTAATTCTCCTTCCGGTCTGAAAAGAACTCATATAATGTGTCATTACTGGCGGATTCTAATATGTAACTGTATTGATCTGTAATTGCCCATAGATTTATTGATAAAATGTAGCGGCAGTAATGATCACCTGAAATTTCGAAGAAAGTTTTACATCCGTAAGAGTTAGGTTTTGGTATTTCAAATGCCTCAACCCCCCATATCTGCAACCAACATAAGAATCTTACAAGCATAATGTTCATGTTTTGTGCAGTGTATTTTTTTTTATAGCATGTAAAAATAAAACACGAAACAAAAAAAAACAAAAAACAAACAAAGAAACAAAAAAAAATACCAACCAAACAAATAAAAAAACAAATTGGATATAAATTGATTTCAATGTAATCTCTCTTTCCCTTTCTCATACGTTTAAAACCTGGCTATCTACTAATAAAGAGAAAATATTTTAAATGTTCTGAAATTGCTGAATGATGAGTGCAATGTGAACTATTAAAATCTTGCTATTTTCTTTCTTTTTTTTTATTTATTTAATTAGATAGTTATATTATTTTTTGTTATTGTTGTCATATTAAATATATTATTAAAGATAAATTTAAAAATAAACCATGAAGATTAGTTTAATTTTTAGAGGATTGTACACGAATTTTTATTTAATAATGATGAGGATTAAAACGTGCTTAAGCTGCTGTTAAGTAATATATTTTTCATTTTAAATCCGTAGCAAAGCCACGCGAGACGATTGTTAAGAAATTAAACTTTATCGAATGAGGAAAAAAACTACACTTGCATCGAAATTCCCTCTCTGGTTCCTCTCTTGTACCTCGAGTTATCTCTCTTATTTTTAGTCATTGAAAAGTTATCATATTCTTCTTGTGTATTCTTCTCGAATTGTGAAGCTTTCAGAAGAATTATACTTTAAAGTTTAATTTCTTTCTTGAGAAGAAGTTAACAGAGCTTCATTTTATACCAAATTTATGTACATCGCATAAAAACAAAATGTACAAAAGTTAGCCTGCACCGGTGATTCAATGTTTAAATTTTGTGATAGTGGAGCGGATCAAAATCCTTTTGCGATATTATATTTAGTTATTTCCGTGTCTATAGTACAATACATGTACAGAAATCTCAAACTGGTCCACATATATCAAAATCGAATTCATTCGTCCATGTATTCAACAAGCCAGTTAATCCATTGTCTGAAGTTTTTGACAAAAAATTAATGAATATATTAACTGTACTAGTAAACGAACCGATCTGGAATAAAATTCTGTCATTTTTTTTAATTAAAACTATTGGACAAAAGGATTTGGACACAGATTAAGTATGTGAATGAAATTTTTTTATTATAACTACGACAAAAGTTAGTGTCAAAAACGTAAACACGTGGTAAAAAAAATCTGCGTTGACACTCGCCGTCGATCTGCAACGTCACGTCTTTATGACGTTATTTCTCTGTTTTAGTGAAAATGTCATAAGGACCCTTTTCTCATGGGCGCAATCATTTATAGTCACCACCACTAACAGGAATGTCACTGTACTTTCTTCTGACAGTCTAGAGGGTTTATAGAAGGAAGATACAGTCCCTTTATGTAGAAAATTGACTGAAAAATAACAATTATTCCTGATTCTATCATTTAAAATATAAACTTTAATGATTAAACTACTTACCATCGAGTTCGCCTTTTTGCTCTTAGCTAACATCTGCGTCCCTGATAATAGAGCTACTTCCGATATGTTCGAGGATATTGTTTGATTTCTAAGAACTTCAGTATCGTCAGCATACCACGTGATGTCATAATAAAGATCCTGGTTGGCTAATCTTTGAAACTGGCAGACAAGATTGACATCTGGTTCATGGATAGTCCGCAGTATTGCGTTTAATGTTAATGTTTTCGATGTCCAGGAAACACTGTGGTAAGCTACCGTTATACTGGACGGAACTTCTGAAACACCTTTAAACAGAAATGTACTGAACTTTTGTTTTAGACTCGACATATATTTATGCATGAACATGAGAAAATATCTTTCAGATATGTCCATTGTGCCCCCCCCCCTAACAAAAATACACGACTGAACTGTAAAAGTAAATTATCAATGTCAAAGTTAAATATAAGCAGACATACGGACCAAAAGAACAAAAGACATTTTTCATCAACCAATTAATTAATTGACAGGTATAGGAAAACTTTACAGCACTAAGTACCTAATCCAATACCGGTACCTCAAATGTAAAAGAGCAATGAATGTCAAAAACATCCTTGTTTTATAAAAAATTAATAAAATTAAAATTGTAATGTGTTTGAATTGGGATCGGGCTCGGGGTACTAAAAATATAGAAGAGAAGCTTCGGGAATAAATGTCGCATGTTTATCATGTTTTGACTTTTTGGGCCAAGACTAGTGAATATATTACATTGGTGACGAGGATTCGGAACGCTTGAATTCTCTTTATCGAAGAATCAGCATGACCCACATAGGAAAAGTCGGTGAGTTTAATGAGAGCACAGAAAGCTTCGCGAATTATGTGGAGAGACTTGAACAATTTTTCGCGGCAAATGAAGTTAAGGACCAAAAGAAAGTAGCTGTATTTTTGTCGATTATTGGTCCAACGACTTATGGAGTTTTGAAAAATTTAGTGCAACCAGCCTTGCCGAAAGAAAAAGAGTACAAAGATTTAGTGCAAGTGTTGCGGGGGTATTACATGCCCAAACCGTTAGTTATTTCTGAAAGATTTAAATTCAATAAGAGAAACCAGAAGGAGGGTGAAAGTGTTTACTCGTATGTAATTGAGTTAAAGAGGCTATCTACACATTGTGAGTTTGGAGAATTTCTGCCTGAAGCACTTAGAGATCGACTGGTTTGTGGGTTACGGTCAGAAGCAATACAGAAAAAGTTGTTATCAGAGACGGAACTGGATTTCGATAAAGCGGTCAAGATTGCGTATGCCATGGAAACGGCTGAAAAAGACACATTGGCATTTTTGACTCCTGATCCAGGAATACACAGTATGGAAACAAAATATTCAGGGAGGAAATCTGAGAACCGAAAGAAATTTCAAAGACAATATTCGGAGGAATGTTACCGATGTGGGAATAACCATAACCCGAAGGAGTGTAAATTCAAAGACAGCAAGTGTTTCAAGTGTCAGAAAATTGGCCATATAGCAAAGAAGTGTCACATGAAAAAAAAATCAGAAAAATCAACACTGTTTGTGGCCAAGCCAGATGATGAGACATCAGATTCATCAGACAGCATTTGTTCTATTTTCTGTACCAATGAAAAAGACCATAGCAGAAGGAAGTTGACGGTGAACATAACAGTGGGAGATGAAGAGGTAGAATTTTTGATTGACACCGGGAGCGTTCGTACCATTGTAGGTGAGGCAGTTTACCAGAGACATTTAGAGCATTTCAAGCTCACAAAAACAGATACTGTACTTCGTTCATATACTGGAGATGAAATCGGGCTGCTGGGAGTGTGTCATGTTCCTGTAAAGTACCAGGATCAAGAGTTCGTTGAGCTACCATTGCTAGTTGCCCAAGGACAGCGACCAAGTTTATTGGGGAGGGACTGGCTGTCAAAAATAAAACTCAACTGGCAAGAAGTCTTTGCAGTCAGTATGAATGAAATGGAGACCCTAAGGAGAGAGTATAGTGACCTATTCTTGCCAAGCACAGAACCAATAAAGGATTTTAAAGCACAGATAAGGTTGAAGGAGGACGGACATCCAATATTTTGCAAAGCACGCACAGTACCCTATGCTATTAAAGAACAAGTGGAAATGGAACTGAGAAAACTAGTTGAGCGAGGTGTTCTTCAGAAAGTAAAAAATAGCTCCTGGGCTGCAACTGTAGTAGTGGTTCCAAAGGCAGACCAGTCAGTGAGGATTTGTGGAGACTATAAGATGACAGTTAATCGGTTTATCAGTGAGGAGCAGTACCCACTGCCCAACACAGATGACATGTTTGCTAGCTTAGCAGGTGGAAAAAAATTTACAAAATTGGATCTAAGTCAAGCCTATTCTCAGCTAGAATTGGACAGAGAATCTCAAGAATGTCTAACCATTAATACTCACCTTGGACTCTTTCGATATGCCCGGCTACCTTATGGAGTTAGTTCTGCAAGCGCAATATTTCAGTCAGTTACGGACCAAGTCCTATTGGGATTAGATCATGTGGTATGTCGGATAGATGACATTCTCATTACAGCGGCGGATGATACTACTCACCTGAATACGCTTCGAGAAGTATTTCGACGTTTGCGAAAGCATAACATTAAGTTGAAAGCAGAAAAGTGCGAGTTTTTTGCAGACCAAGTGGTTTATATGGGGTTCCTGCTAGATCACAATGGAGTACACCCAACAGAAGAAAAGGTTAAGGCCATAAATGATGCACCTAGACCTACTGGAGTAAAGGAGTTAAAAGCTTTTCTTGGGTTGTTGAATTACTATGGTGCTTTTCTGCCAAACTTAAGTACCGAGTTAAACCCACTCCACAAGTTGTTAAAGAAGCATGAACCGTGGAATTGGACGGCTGACTGTGAGGAGAGTTTTAATGTCTGTAAAAAGATGATCACTGAGAGTGAACTTTTAGTGTTTTACGACTCCAAGAAACCTCTCCGATTATCGTGCGACTCATCTTCCTATGGAGTTGGAGCAGTAATATCGCATGTAATGAAAGATGGCTCAGAGAGACCAATAGCTTTTGCCTCCAGAACACTGAGTGAAACCGAGAGACGGTATGCTCAAATAGAAAAAGAGGCACTGTCATTAGTTTTTGGAGTAAAGAAATTCCATAAGTACTTGTTTGGACGCAAATTCACATTGGTAACAGATCACAAACCGTTGTTGTCAATTCTGGGACCAAAAAAGGGTGTTCCCCCATTAGCTGCAGCCAGAATGCAACGTTGGGCACTGATACTGGCTGCGTATCAGTATGACATTCAGTACAAATCATCTGAACAGCATGGTAATTGTGATTCCTTATCGAGACTACCATTACATGAGACAGAACAGGAGGATACAGAAGAAGGAGTATTTTCATTGGATATGTACTTACCCATCTCCAGTCAGGAGATAGCTATGGCTACCCGAAGAGACCCGATTCTGTCTAGGGTGTATGATTTCACTCTGAACGGCTGGCCAGCTCATGTAGAGGATTCTGATTTGCAGCCTTTCTTTGATAGAAGGAATGAACTTACACTGGAAAAGGGATTGCTCTTGTGGGGGATGCGAGTGGTCATTCCGGACAAGTTTAGAGGTCGCTTGTTGCTAGAGCTGCATGATGAACATTTAGGAATGTCTCGAACAAAAGCCTTAGCCAGGGGGTATCTTTGGTGGCCTTATTTAGACAGGGACATTGAAGACATGGTTGAAAGATGTTCAGCTTGTGCATCTACTAGAAACACTCCAAAAGAAAGCCCCCTGCATCCTTGGATTTGGGCTTCTAGACCGGGGCAACGAGTGCATATAGATTATGCAGAATATAAGGGGCAGTCCTTTCTTGTTATTGTCGACAGTTATTCAAAATGGCTGGAAGTCATACCAGTGAAGTCCACCACAAGCAGCAATACCATAGAGAAGTTAAGAACATGGTTTGCCTCAGTTGGAATACCTGAAGAAATAGTGAGTGACAATGGGCCCCAGTTTACATCTTCTGAGTTTCAAGATTTCATGAAGCACAGTGGAGTTAAACATACACTTGTACCGCCCTATCATCCTCAGTCAAATGGGTTGGCTGAAAGAGGAGTACAGATTCTAAAAAAAGCATTAAAGAGGCAAGATTTTGATGGTCATAGATGGTCTCTTCAGCAGCGCCTTGACAACTTTTTGTTAAGGTATCGCATAACTCCACATAGCACTACTGGAACATCACCGGCAGAATTATTTCTTAAGCGCCAGTTAAGAACCCGGTTGAGTTGCATTAAACCTAATCTTCGGGAGTCTGTGGAGGAGAAACAGCAAAAGATGAAAGAACAACATGATGGTGGACAGTGTAAAGTCAGGGAATTTCAGGGAGGTGAACAAGTTCAAGTGAAAACAACTATTCCAGGACAAAAATGGAAGTGGATATCTGGTGTGATTCATAGAAAGTTAGGACCATTAACTTATCTTGTACGAGTTGGAAAACGCATTCGCTATTGCCACATAGATCCTTTATTAGCATCGTCTGCTACGATGCTGGAGCCGGAACTTACACCGCTGCCCTTTGATGTAGAGTTACCCTCTTTTAAGGAGCCAGGAATGGATCGGGCCTTAGTGTCTCCAGATGAAACAGGAAAGGGAACTCCTGAAATGGTGGAAACTCAAGAAAAACTTGCGGACTCTGTAAACAAGGATACCAAGGTGCCTGATCAGACTGATGCAGTGCCGGAACGTCGTTATCCGCTCAGGATGAGGAAACCCACTAAAAAATTGGACTTATAGAGCGAAATCGTTGGTGAACTGTGCTGCATGTTGCAGTTCTTATGACAATGCAAAATTAATCATTAATCATTACTTTGTATGTCCAGATAGGATTTATTCATCTTTTGTATTTTTTATTATCTTTTGTGTAAAAGGGGAGGAGTGTAATGTGTTTGAATTGGGATCGGGCTCGGGGTACTAAAAAATATAGAAGAGAAGCTTCGGGAATAAATATCGCATGTTTATCATGTTTTGACTTTTTGGGCCAAGACTAGTGAATATATTACAAAAATTATCTAGAATAAAATACTCACATGATATGCCAGGTTCTGCAAACAAAAAAAAAATCAATAAACATTTTTATATATTTACTTTAAAAACGAATTATTTTCGTGGCGTGGTGAACTTTCGTTATTATCATTGTATGAAGATACCAATGAATAAATGACCACAATTAAATGTTGAATTGAAAACGATCAAACATTTCTCAAACATTGATTTAAATTTTTAAAGGAAAAATCGAAATGGTATCGTAGATTTTGATTTTCGGAATGGCAAAATATATAGAATGAAACAAATAATGTATTTGTTTTTCTTAGCTTAAAAATTCTAATTTCTAGTCAAAATATATTCTGTACGAACATTTCATTCACCCACTCCCCCTTTTTGAAAAAAAAAATGGTATTTAAAATTTATAAAGGTTTATGAATAACTTTACTTTATTTCAACTCTGATGCATCGATAACATGCTTAAAATGTTTCAAGACTGTTTCTAAATCTTAGAACTAGGACATTTTAGTGTCATAAATAAATGTGAGTCTTCCATTATGTCATAATCCAAAACTAAAGCGTTCACCGGTTATGAAGTTTGAACATGATTTGGTAGGCAGAGGGCATCTCTACATGTACCATTTATTCTGTTAATAAGCCATAGCAAATGGATTAAGAATGGTATGAAGTACACATGAAAAAACATCTTTTACATTTAAACTAGGGATATTTTCCAACAGAGAGTGTCGGCAGCTCTGTACCACAGGCAAAATAATTTGAGAATCGTAAAATGACCATAAAATATACCACGTAGTGAGCTCACCAAAGCAATATGCAGAGTTACATTGATCCAAAGGTGTCAATTCATATACGAAGAAATTCCCACAATTCTTTGCATTTACGGTGTGCTGCTTTGAACAGCTACTACTGAATCCAACTTGACAAACTGTCACTGCTTTCGTTTCTCCTGATTGTGGCGGTGAATCTATAATATAGAAAAAGACAGATAAACTCTTCATTTCTTTTGTGCGATCTCTTTTGTCTTTATCGTATACAAGGTAATACTTTTGGTTGAATATCAATTAAGATTGTCTTTTGAGATAACAAATAAAACTTTTTAACAGATATAATTAATTACCATTCATCCAATAAGGATATAGCGTTCCACACATTCCCAGGGTGGGTTCGGAGGTAGGCATTTTGTGGTAGCTGGCCCTATACCATTTCCGTACAATGTATCGGTCACAGAGCGGGACAGAGTCCTGCACATAAGATGGGTTTCTTTTCGCCAAATCTCCAAGCTCTGTATACACAGAGGTCGAACAAGGATCTTGAGCAATAACTGTTATAATAAGAAAACAAAATTTAATTCTCAGAATGCATTTCTCCGAGAGATACATAAAAAAAATATGTGTATGTCTCTTTGGTTTGCAACAACTTTAAGCTTGCTATAGTCTTCCTTTTACGTTTCCAATTGCAAATCCTTTTTCTATATATTTAATTATATGAAAATCGAGTTTTTGCTATTGCTGTTTTCAGATCCGAAACAATTAAGAAACAAGGTCTGTCTTACACGAGACTTTTTCTATAATATGTTTTTAACAGATATTTATATTTATTATTTGCAAAGAAATCGTGATCTGTGTGAACAATTTTTATATTCTATACGCAGGACCATGCTCTACTTATACACTATTTCTAATGCAAGGTAAGATATTGAAAACAAGTTGTTTAAACAAGAATATTAGCAGTCTTGTTTACAGTAATCAATTTGTCAGTTCAATGGTCGATACAATGACATTTTCAGTAAATACAATATATCAATGAGTCAAATGCTGACTGAGGCTTTTCTCACTACATGTAATTCCTGGTCCATTATTTACACTCTGAGCTGAGGACGGATTTTTTCCGTTATTTCCCGAGTATGACAAGGAGCACGCGGCTGGTCTGACCGGTTGGCAGGGGATACTCACTCCTCCAGAGCAGCTCATCCCACTTCTGATGTTTTTAATGTCTATGTTTGCTACTTGCTCCTATTTTGGCTTTTTGAAAGTTTTAGTTCTATTTGTTTTCTCAAAATATTCGTTTTATGCAAACATTCCTTTCAATAAAAGCGTGTTCTCAGTCTGACGACTGTATTCCAAATTGTACAGTTAATACGTAGAAAAATAAAGAAACTTATAATTACCTAATGTAATGTTTCCACTTATCAGCACCAATAAAAACAGGAGAACTGTCGATTTCATTGCTGTAATATGTATATATTTAAAACATAGTTCATATATAATAATTTTATACAAAATATCAGATTCTTAAGATATATTCATTTAAACAAGAGGCCCATTGGTCTTACAGGACACTTGAGCATCATGCAACAACTTTCCAATAATTGAGTTTGGTTTATGTTTGAACACGTTTAAACTAGACACCATGGCATTCAAAATTTTGAAACCATTATTCATCATAACTATTCACATAAATTTAACATGTTTTCACTATAATCAATAGAACCCCGCCCTATCACCAGAACCCCTTACCCTGGGGCCGTAAAATTCACAATTTTGGAAGAGGCAACCTTAGCTTGCTTATCATAACTACATACTTACTTAGTTTATTTTAATACCTAGGAGCAGATATGACGAATTTCAAATAATTAATGTATTTTCACTATATAATTCAATAGAGCCACGCCTTAACACCAGAACCCCTGACCCAAGGGCTATAAGATTCACAATTTCTTGCTCGTCATAACTATGTGCTTACTTAGTTGATTTAATACCCAGAAGCAGAGAGATAGATTTTCAAAGAATTAATGTATTTTCACTATTTAATCAATAGAGCCCCGCCCTAACACCAGAACCCCTGACCCTGGGGCCTTAAATTCACAATTTTTTGAAGAGGCAACCTAGCTTATCATAACTATACTTAGTTAGTTTATGTAATACCCAAGAGCAAACAAGAAGATTTTGAAAGAAATAATGCACTTCTACTTTATGATCTATATAGCCCTACCCTAATCCTAGAACCCCTTACCCTGGGACCATGAATTTCAGAATTTTGGTTGAGGACTGAATGCTGATTAACATCATGCCAACAGTTTGCCTGCTAGATGTCCAGGATTAAAGAAGAAGATTTTTAAAGATTGCATTAAATTATAATTTTGGTGGTTTTTGCCCCACCCCTCAGGCCCCCCGGGCGGGGGGACCATGAATTTCACAATATTTGTTCCCTTTACCTATAGATGCTGTATATCAAATTTGGTTGGAATAGGCTCAGCTATTCCTGAGAGGAAGCTGAAATGTTCAAATGTTTTACGACCGTTTGACAACTAACGACGGCCGAAAACAGATAGCAATAGGTCACCTGAGTGACTCAGGTAACCTAAAAAATCAAAATATCTTTTAAAGTAGCCATGTACCTATCTTTTTATGTCCGCGTAAACTAGGTTTGGGGGGTATATAGTTTTTATCGTGTCTGTCCATTCGTCTGTTTAGCTGTTCCTCTGTTTGTCATTTTGTCTGTTTGTCCGCAAAAAACATTAACCTTACCCATAACTTTTGATTTAGTGGAGCTTTGACTTTCATATTTTACATGTGTATTTCTGTCAAGGCCTTACTTTGGATTCCACGAAAAAGATCCCTACCTGCTAAGTAGCCGGAGTATTAGGGATTGTTTTCATCTTTTGACCTTGAAGTTTGACCCACTTTTACACAAAAATTCCAAACTTTTACTTTTGTCATATCTTTTGAACAGTAGATATTAGGACTTCTATACTTAATATATGTATTCTTTGTGGCAAGACCTTTCATTGGGTACCAACAACTTTGACCTTGACTATTTCCGTACTAATGAAAACTTGAACCTTGGCCATAACTTGAAAGGTAAGGGCTAGAGCGTAAATACTTCACATTTGTAATCCCCGAAAAAAATACGCTTTCTTGGATACCAAGAACTTTGACCCTTTCACCTTGAGGTTTGACCTACCTTTAAAACAAAACATTGACCTTAATTTTTGAAGGGTTTGGACTAGGTCTTTCTTACTTGACCTAATCAATCCTTGTGACAAGATCATTTATTTGATAACAATAACCTTGACCCTTGACCTCGACCTTGAGTTTGACTCCTTTTATACAAAAAATCCAAACTTATACTTATAGTTCTCATTTTAAACCTATGCAACCGGCGGCAACATAGATTTAAAAAGCTTTTATTTATCATATAGGTCAAGGTCATCAACCTTGTTGTCATTTGCTTAAACTTCATTAGTGGAGCATGCATACAAAATATGAAGACTCTATCTCTTTGGGTTCAAAATTTATGTCAAAAGAAAAAAAAATTATTACCTTATAGGTAAAGGTCACAAGGTCATTGACCTTGGTGTCATATGAAAGAGCTTTATAAGTAGAGTATGCATACAATTAATGAAGCCTCTATCTTTCATGATCCAAAAGTTCTAAAAGGCTTTTTGTAACATATAGGTAACAGTCAAGGTCACCAGAACAGTGACCTTGTTGTCATTTGAAGGAACTTGATTAGTGGAGTATGCATAACAAATAAGAACCTATTAACTATCGCACAAAAGTTATGGGAAAGGTTAAAGTTGACAACAGACAGATATTCAGATAAACAGGCGAAACAAAACAATATACACCTAGGATCTATCGACTCTGTCGCATAATAAAAATACTTTTCATTACCCCATGACATTTAAAATGTTAGATTTCGTAAATGCAATATTGATATAGCATTATTTGTTCTTATAATTAAAAGAGCCAACGCAATTGCGACATAAAAAATGAATGCACAAGCCGTTCTTCCTTGTCTAATTATAAACCTGACGGGTAAATGACAGGTACTTGGATAAATTTAAGCCGATTAACCATGGCTATGACACTATATAGCTATTAATAAAATTCTTTTAAAAACTGAAAAAAAAATTTAAATAAATACTCAGATAGACACGAAAAATAAAAGGACAAAAAACTGGAGACAATGCATGTCATTATTAATTATAAATAACTTAATTATCCTGATGAGAAAAGCGGTGTTAGTTTAAAACTAAATAGTTTTCTCCGTCTTATTGAAATAGTTTTGTCAAAAAAAAAATGACATGATCGATCGCAAACGTCTTCAGAGTATCTTTTCTTTTTTAAAAACACTGTGCGCCCGGCCGCAACAAAGTTCTAAAAAGCAATTTTTAGCAAATAGGTCACACTCAAGGTCACACAACCATTGTCCTTGGTGTCATCTGAGATCACTTGAGATCACAGTGGAGTATGCATACCAAATATGAAGTCTCTTTTTCTCACGGTTCAAAACTTATGGCGAAGGTTCAAGTTGACAACAGACAGACTATTGGACAAACATACAGACAGGACAAAAACAACATGCGCCCCGAATAAATTCGGGTGCATAAAAACATATCGAAAAGATTAATTTTCATGGACATCAATGTTGTAATTTTTACTGACGGGGGTTAAAAGGCTGAAATTATTTAAAATGCGTACTTCCTGAAGCTGTACCCTTTAATTATTATTTAAATATGCAGGCAATACCATCTTTAAATTATAAATTAAAATTTCTTTGGTGTATAATTTGAATAAGACGATTTTAAAAAAATCGTGAGTGACTCAGGTGACCTAATTAAAAAAAATAATCAATTCATTCTACATTGTACCTCAAAAAATTTATTACCACATATTAAATGAGTCTCCTTAGTCCTTACATATGTCCTAAATGGCTATTTTTTTACGAGAATATTATTTAATGTTAATAATTAAAAAACTAACTATCTAGCACCTGCGTAAAACGTCCATTTACATGATGTAAAAAAAGCCGTTGCATTTAGATTTATGTAATGCAGTATCAATAAACCATTATTTAATGAATAAAAATCACAACACCCACGAAACTGCGAATTATCAGTTCGTGCAAAACGAAAAACTAAAAAAAGAAGACAAAACGATGAGTTTAAAAAAAAGACAAAAGCAAAAACATTTCTGTGTTGAAAAGTTTGACATCCTATGGAACCAGGTTAAATAGAAATTGGTTAAAACAGAATATAACAAATATAAGAGACTTTTTTTTCCTGCCCCCTATTCCCCTGAAAATAATCAAAGTGTTGTAAATGTTAGTATATCCCCCACTTGACAAGCGGGGGGGGGATATACAGTGATCGGGATGCCCGTCCGTACGTTCGCTGGTCACGCTAAATAATGCATATTTACGCATTATATATCACTATCAAACATAATATTACAAATTGGAACTGGATTGTTACACTTAGAAAAACTTTTTATTCTAAATCAACAAGAAATCAGAATATGTCCTCGTTTGGCATTTAAAAAAAAAATCAAATTGCTCTACATTGTACCTCAAAGAGATTTATTACCACATGAGATGAGTCTTCTTACATAGGTCCTAAATGGCTATATTTTTTACGAGAATATTATTTAAATGAAAAAAAAAATTAAAGGTCAAATTAGCAGCCACATAAAAGTCCATTAATATGAAGTCAAAAAAATTTCCCGTTGTGTCCATATTTATGTAATGTACTATTAATAAAGCATTATTTATTGTAATAATAATAATAACAGCAACGTAATTGGGAATTTTAAATAGAAACTAAATGTACGCGCAGCTCTTCCTGGTCTATTTATATGGTAACCGTGGCTATGACCCTGTAACAGTACCAATATATCTCATAGAACTTTTAAAATATGGACTAAATTGGTTCCTTTTAATACTCAGATATGTACATGTACGAAAAAATCTAAATAGACGAGAAATAATTTTTACAAATGTAATTATGAATGGCCTCTTTATCATGAAGGGGAAAAAACGATGTTCAACGGTATTCATTATTTGAAACTGTATCATTGTATTAATATTTAAAAAAGGGTGGTCAATCTCTTTTGACTAAAAAGGACAATCCCAACCGAAATGTTTCTTCGAAAATAACATGTTTCAAGTTTAACTGATAGAGCCTATAAGGTTAAAATGTATGTTTTTTAATTACTTATTTTTTAAAAAAAAATGGATCTGTATCTTCTCAAGAACTTTGAAATATGACCACAATACCTTCTTAGAATTATTAACCGGAATTTCATTTTTTCGCAATAATTTGAAAAAGACAATTCTGAAATTCGAGATAAAACACAGGTCATTTTATCCAGATTTGAGTTATTAAATTGTCAGATTTTTGTCAAAATTCTTTCTTTGAATTTCATTATATTTAGTATAATTTAGCAAACA